TTTGTGTGCATATGTGTGTGTGTGCATGTGTGCCTCTTGAAACAAGTACATTTCAGTTAAGAGTGGTGAATATTCCATTATTTAAGTGCTAGTTGGGTAATCTTATCTCTATTGCTTTTGAAAACCCATAAAAACTTAGGCCTAGTGTTGCTACATCTTCTGATTGTAAGAGAAACTGGAAAGCCAGACTTTTCACTTGAAAAAGCTATGTGACATTAAAATTTAAATACTGAGAATGAGTCCAAGACTTGAAAAATGCTTGCTGAATAAAATACATTTGTGGGTCAGCTTCAGCCCCCAGGCCACAGCTTGCCATGTTCTCTGTAGTCTTTAGTCTTTTAACCTCTAGAGCTCTCACCTTTTCATCTAGAATTTTAGACAATCAATTTTGGACTAATTGAAGTCCAACTTCATCCTTAGCCGTCATGGATTATTTGAAGACAGTGCCTTTTTAATAGTGTAAACAGTGTACCATATCCAAATTTAAAAGGAACTTGTAAGTCTTGACAATGAGTGACCTCATCTTCCAGAAAGAACTATTGGTGATTATATCCAGAAGTGACATTGGAAAGTCTGAAGCTTGTCCATCCCTGTCTTTAAATGACAGATGAAATTTCCCCAGGGACAAATGACTCGCCCACAATCAGCAATCTGCCAGTGGCAGTGCTGGAGCTCAAACACAGGTTTTGATGTACATCCTTTCTCCTTGTCATCTAGCCTTAAAAATTCTATAGAGTAGGTCATTTCAACTCCTAGCTAGATCTAGCAAGGCCTGCAATCACCTCTGTACTGGGCTTTTCAATTACATGGACAAAAATATCCTGCCCTTGTCAATTTTCTTTTTGATTTAGCCACTTGGGTTAGGTTTCTGTCACTTGGAACCAAAATAATCTAATAGTGCTTCTTTTCCACATTCCTGATGTCTCACACTCTTTTCCAGACTAGAAAACCCATCCTTCTGTACGGTTACATACATCATGCTAATTTTTAAGGCCTTCCTTCATGAACTCTTTCCAGTATTACACACAGTCTTGATAGATTGCCTTCTTACTAGTCAACACTGTCCTACTCTCAGCTTCTTTGTCCTGTATGTAAGTTATCTTCCAAACTAGACCAGAAGCTCGCTCATTCAGGAGGTGTCTTTCTGTTCTGCCAACATGCCCGCAAGAGCACTGCATGCAATGAGCACCTGGCCACTCTGTTAGGATTTCGTTCTAACTTAGAACTCTCCTTACCAGTCCAGCTTCAGTTCCAGAGACAACTGGCCCCAAACCAAATACTGGTTCTTTCAGGATGGCAGCCTATTGCATATTGTACTTGCTTTTGCACGGAAAAGATCTCAGAATCATTTGACTATTATTACTTTACATGATCCCATTCTTTAGGAATGAAAGATTTTATTTCCTTTGTTCTTTGGTCCAGTTTTAGGAAATATCAGACTATTCCAGGTATACAATGAAGCAAGAACTTCCCTTATTACTTTTCCTATATTATGCTTTACCAGAAAGTCTCTGCTAGTACCAGGGCATAACAGTTCATTCTCATTGCACCAAAGATACTGGGGAAGAAAATGTCAAAAAGCACATTTAAATAATTATTTTCCTGATGAAGAAAGAAACACATAATTCTGTTTGAAGGAAATCTGTTTTAACGGTCACTTTGTTCTCTCAAAAGGTTAAAAAATTTTATTTTTTTAAATGCAAATCATATTTTGCAGTGAGAATGCAAGGCTTAAGAATTTGGAATAGTGGAGAAAATCAAATGCCTTAAAGTCTATCTGAATGGGTGAATCCCTATTATTGACTTAAACTACAGTCACATACATATACATAGCTAACCAGAGGTGGGTCCTCAATGTTATGAAAAGCAAGGCTTTTCAGTGATGCACCAACAAGGTCAAATAAGTCAAATGAATAAAGATGGAATATCTATGGCTAATGGTGACTCAGTGTTAGTCGTAATTTCAAGAAGACACAAGCTGAATCACATGAAAATGAGTAGCCTGATTGTATCACACATTTAGCCCAGTCATAATTCTCCTGAGCAAGACAGGAGTTGTTATGGAGACACAATTTCAGGATTGCCCCTTTTAATCATCTTATACATACACAGAAACACACACATACACACCTACATATGCACACAGAGATTCACTTTAGACTTTGTAATGCGGGCATTATGAGTGATTCCCGTCTAATTGAAAAATCCTATCAATTTAAATATTACTCAGGATTGTTTTCAGTGCCGCTTTTACATTCCCTCAGTAACATCTATAAGGAGCTAGTTCACATGAGGTAGCCACCCATCACCGCTACTACATAATTTAAAAACAGATGGTGTCGCTTTGCTCTGCCAACTTCTAGGTATTCACGCTACCATTCTGACAAAAGAAGAAAAAGAATTTTTAGAGGCCAAGGGCTGTTGTCATTTCTGAGTTGCTGAAACAACTCAGAAACAGTCTGGTGGAGAAATTTTTGTTTTGGGCATACATTATCATCCCTGCCGTGTTATATTTAGCTTCACAGCGATGCAAACAAAACATACCTATAAATGCTAAGATGTGTTTTGCAAGTAGTCTGTTTAAAGTCTCCTCTTTTAATTAGGAAGACTGTTGGAATGCTCAGGCACTCTTTTGCCCAGTAAAAGCAAAACCCAACTAATTAACCATCAAAATTATCCCAACAATGGCACTTTCTCACACTGCTCTTTCCAACTGTTCTCCTGGGACAAACCACCTTTCTGAGTTCAGCTTGAGCCACACAGAAAACCAGACTGTTGTCCGGTGTTCAGATTTGCCAGCTAACACCCCGTCTCTGCTTCAGAGTCTCTGTGAGGAAGGAACCTGAGCATCCATTACCCACGCTGTCTACTTGATGAGTTCCCTGAAGAAGAGGGACAGGCCTCTCTCGCGTCTGTGAGTTCATCTGGGGGTGAACTGTCAGGGTGCTAGGCTTCTGCTTTCCTCCTGGAATGCTTCTGGTCAGTAACTCCTACTGAGAAGACAGGACCGGAAATCAAGGCATGTCCCCACTGCCGCTTTTAGCTATGTAGCGCTTGAGGGAGATCACAAAGCTTCTGACTCTCTGTTTTCTCTTGGTAATTCGTGCACGGCGCTACACTACCGTAAGGTAATGGGGACATATGACGAGGAGCATGTGGGACCTATGTGCATAGTCTCAATCTTTCACTTCACCTAAACTGCTCTTTTTAAAAGCTATTTTTTAAAAACAATGTAAGTGGAGTGCCTTGCACGTAGTAGGTACTTGAGAAGTGGTAGCTGGCATGGTACAGACTATCTGGTTTCATAAGGTGCATTACACCCTGAACGACCTGATTCCCCTTCCCCATTTGAGCAATTCCTGCCCCCAACTCCCTCCTCCAAATCACTCCTTTATCTATATCATTTTCGTCTGGCTTTTTCTAATTCACCCATTTCTACTCTATGACAAGCTTATGTTTAGTTTGCAAATAATTTAAATTCCTCAAAGACTAATTTTAGCTCATTAATCCTATTTATTGGCTTTAAATGTCACTATAATGATTACACAATCTTTTTACTTTCAATAATCACTCATTTAAAAAAAAATCTGAGTTTTAAGCTTCCTATTTGGAGAAAAAAAAAAAAAAAAAAAGCAAAAGATTCTTTTCCAGAGCAATGAGAAAGCTTATTTTTGCTTACGATAAGTGGATATATATTCAGCCCCAGGGCAGCTCTTCCAGGATATATATTTAGCAATAGTTTGCTGCAATAACTAAAAATAGTTTGACCAAATGCCAATGTTATCAGTCCATTCTGGAGTTTCTCTGATGTTAAGGTCATGTGTAATAACAGACCCAACTTGCTCCTCAAACTCCAGCTTTGAATGCATCCAGGCAAAACACACAATCAGATCACAAGAACCCGGCCTCGTGGTGATCTTTCTCATGTGGCTAAAGGCTCGCTTGGAAGAACTGGGTCTCTGCAGGATTTTTTCTTCTTCTCCGTTCTAGTGCAGCACCTAAGCACTTACTTAAAAGGAAGAGCTATAGAGTCTCTGACTCAAAAACAAGTTATTTTTTCTTTGAGTCAAAACAGTTCTTACTGTCAAAGGGCAGTGCATCTCTGGTTAATGCTTTAATTAATTGGACATATTTTTGAGATGGAATTTGCTATTGCAGCAAAGACAAAATTATCATAATAATTCCAAACTGAAATTTGAATTGCCAGGCCTTGAGGACCCAATTTCCAGTTTAAAAAAAAAAAAAATTCACAAACTTTTACGGCTTTGAGGGTACTTTTAAGCTCCTGAAAACAAGGGCCGCTGCGAGGGGCGTAGGCCGGCCGGGGCTGAGGGGCACGGTGAACAGCCCACCTGCTGTCTTGCACATAGGAAATGAGAGCTGCTCTGAACAAAACCTATATCCAAGCTCTCCAGAGCTGAAGTGTATGGACAGCGCTGGGTGCCTTGTATACACATAAGGAAAACAAACAGAAATCTGTGCTAGCTCAAGATAAGGATGTAAAATAAATACGGAAAAAAATCTAACACTTTACTACGGCAACATATAATTCAGGCTTAACGGCAGCCGCTTAGAAATTTACTATTTTAAGAAACCAGTCTCACAGGCTCGGTGGGGTTAGAGTTGGCGCCTCGCATCGCCCCTCTGGGGGCTGGGGGCTTCTCTGACGGCCCAAGCCGGGCGGAGTCATTTCCTGGAACTGACTTTCCCCGCTCGCGCCCCACTGGGCTCTGGGCTCCTGACCGCTGCTCTGCGGGTCCCGGCCCCCGGGTCACCACCCCTCCTGTCCTCTCTCGGGCAGAAGAGCTGATGGAAACAGGCGCTTTTTTTTTTTTTTTTTTTTTTTTTAAGTACATCAAAGGCAGCCTGCTCGTAGCCGCCCTAGCCTTGCCCCAGCCTCAGACACAAAAAGCTTTTGATGCCTGTAATTGCGAGGCTTTTTGAGGCTGCGCTCGGTCAAGCCCGCAGCAGCCGAGGGCCTCTGCACGCCGCGAGGTCACCTTGGGAAGGGCAGAGGGTCACAGGGAGGGCGAGGGAGGTGGTGACCCAGGCCGAAGGAGCACAGGGCGCGCCCCGGATCTGGGGTCTGTGGGGAGGGGGAAGGTGGATCGCAGAGTAGGGCGGCCAGGGAGAAGCAAGCGGCGCCCCAGGGCCCGCAGGCGACCTCAGTGGGCGATCGGCTGGCGGGGCAGGAGGCGGGCGCCCTTCGCGGAGCCGCAGACTCCCGGCGCTCCGCTTCCGCG